AGCCAGGAAGATGAGAGTATATTAAATGAAGGTGCATTGAATAACGAGGACGTAAATCTATCCATTGATATTGTCCATTGAGGGTATCTATGCCTGTAATTACAGTATCAAAAGAAACAAACAAACTGGCAAAGAAAAAAAACTCCAGTAAAAGAAAAAGGGATGAAGCCGAAGTAGAGGTTCTAGACAGTCTCAAAGCGTACTTGAAATCGGATGAAAAAGAAGAATCGGAGGTTGAATCTTTCTGCAATTGCTTAGCCAAAACACTATCGAAATTCGACCCAAAAACGTTCGTTATACTCGAACACAAAATAAACTGCATAGTACATGAGGCAGAAATGGGGAAAATTTTGCCAGCCGCACCTCTCACTTCAATGTATGGAATGCCCACCCCCCTTCAGCCATATAATCATGCCCCACTGTATAATGTACTGAGTGACTCTATGGAAGTTTACAATGGTTAATGTTGATGTTTGATGTTTGATGTTTGATGAGATTTTTGTTTAGTATAGTGAAGCCTTTTAGAATTTAAAGTACATGTACGCATAAAGTTGGTCAGTGACATAAATCAGTATATCCTAGTTAAATAAGATTGTATAGAAATTACTGTATAAGCTGTATATTTCGCGGTCGTTTAATTTTCGCGAATTTCGCCAACACGTCCCCAACCAGGAAAGTAACAACACGCGAATAGTTCATACCGAATAATACCGAAGAATTCATAATTCACCGACTGCGAAATTAACCCCTAGCGAAATTATCTGTCAAGTGTGAATTAGCGAAAATATCTGCTGTACCTGTATAAATATCAGGAGTAGATAATAGGGAAGGAGTGTGACATCAATAAACAAGGGAAATTCGTCATTTACTAGTCTTATAATACCTACGATTTACTACGCGTAACCAGGAGTGTATAATAGGGAGGAGTGTGACAACTATCAATAAACAAGGGGAAAATTCATTACTTAGCCTTAAATACTACAGATTTACTCCGTAATCATCCAACTGACCGCAAACTGACAACCAGTACATTCGCCCATCATCGTGCAAAATTCCTTCCTCGTACGACACTCCGCAATCCGAAGATACAGCCTAAACCTACGAACACGATTTTCCATTCTTTGCCACAATTAATTCACTCGCATAGCGCCGCCTATAATTACAAACAAAGCAGCTACTAACCACACTGTACCACGGCTTGCCTCACGGCGAGCACTGTGGCTCGCAGGTGATTAGATTCAACGCAACACTCGCGAAATAACCTTTGACCCGCCGTACACAAGCTCAATGTACGGCCTATGTCATACCGGCTCGCAATTACAGCTGCATGCCCCCATACCACGCACGCACCCAATCGCCTATCAGCAGCAGATCCGGATTCAGCCCCCCCCCGCCCGCCCCGCCGCGGCGGGGCCGCGTTTCGGGGCCGGACGGGCGGGCGGTTCCGCCGGGGCGGGGGCCGGCACCGGGCCGCCGCGGGCGCGGCGGCGGCGGCCCCGCGCGGCGCCGGCCGCGCGCCGGCGGTGGGCGGGGGCGGGCCGCCCCGGGCGCGCGCCGCGGGGGGCGCCGCGGCGGCTCGGCGCGGGCCGGGGTGGGCGGGGGGGGGGTCGCGGGTTCAAAGTCTCCCTGCGAGGCCACGCGCCTATCGCGTGTATCTTGGATTGCGGGCTGTCTACGAGGAAGGATTTGCCACGATGGATGGGCGAATGTACTGTGTCCGATTTTGAGCTCAAGTGGATGAGTTACGACCGTAGTAAATCGTAGGTATCTATAAGGCTTGCTAAATGCACGAATTTCCTTTTATGTCAGCCACATGCTCCTCCCTATTATACATCCTCCCTGGCGTTAACTCATCCAACTTGGAAAGCTCAAATTCGTACACATTACATTCGCCTAGGCATCGGCGAAATCGTTTTCCTCGTATAGGCACGAAGCATCCGGAGATAACAGACTGAAAACGACGCACGAATTATCCATCTTGGCCATCAATCCGAGCCGATGCCCGCTACCTATTCAAACAAAAGCGCAGCTACTAACCCGCTATTGCTAACACGGCGGGCAATGTTGCTCGCTGGGAGATTTGAGCCCGACTTTGTGCTGATGCGTTGGGTGGCTGCCGTGGGGGGCTGGCGCCAGCTGTATTGCCGGTATCGGGGCGCGTTTTTTATGTAGTGTTGTGTACGGGTCAAATGGTTATTTCGGCCGGAGGCGTTAGTGCTAATCTCCAGCCGAGCCAAATGCCTCGCGCGAGTTAGCAATAGCGCCATTAGTAGCCGCCTTTTGTTTGAATATATGGCGGGGCAATCGGCTCAGACAATCCGTG